TATTTTGTTAGGGAAATGAGTCCGTATATCCTCTGTATATGTAGAATATACGGTTCCGTATATCCTCTGTATACGTAGAAAATACGAGTCCGTATATCCTCTGTATATGTAGAAAATACGGTCCGTATATCCTTGGTATATTTATAGTATACTAGAGATAACAACCTTGATATAGTTCGTATACGGGATTTTATTCTCCGTATACTTCAAAAGTACGAACAAATATACGTATATGTATATGGGGCAAATACGGAATTCCGTATATGCCTGATGCATATACGGACTTCCCGTATACCCGGTGTTCCCTATACGGACTCGTATACTTGGTCCGTATATTCGACGAATACATCCCGTACACGCCCGTATATGTCAAAAATACGGGACCGTATATTCCCGTATATCAGTATAATTTTCGCAGTGTTAACAGATGAAACGTCTAAGTTTGGAACAAAATTCATGGGCTATGAGGCTAGTGACTCGGAAGGAAATTTATGGGTACTTGGGCTCAGAGAAATCGAAACAAAGTCTTCTAGTGACACATTGAATGTCTTTAAACAAATTATGGCAGACTTAGATGAATGTAAGGGTGATAACAGTCCATCAAAGGACATCATTAGTCATATATCAGCAACTATGTCCGACCGAGCCGCCACAGAGCTTAAGTTTAATGATCTCCTCCAACAATATCGTAAGGAAGTTTTACCTTTAGCTATACAGAACTATGACAGATTTACTCAAGAAGAGAAGACTGCTGTTGAAAGTCTAAACAACTATTTTTGTGGGTTACATGCCCTCGTTAATTATGCTGAAACAACACAAAAGTCTATTGGGGAACTTGAAAATAAAATTTTTGATGGTAAAGTGCCATTGTATGACAAAACTTTCAAAACAAATGAACCAGGGACATGTAGATTAATCAGAACAGCAGCTAAATGCATGGGGGATGGTAGTGGTGGTGATGAAAAGTCTGGCTGTCAAGGTGCTTTCAGGACATACATACACAACTTATTCAATTTTTGCAACATTTTCAATTTTGCCGTGTTGGGCTTTCTTTAGGGATTCTATATTTATCTATTTTATCATCACATCCGTGTTATTTGTGCCGTGTGGCGGCTGTTAAAAGTCTCCCCGTACATTTAATCAATGATGTTATATTTTCGATCCTTGAAGATCGTTCAGCACGACATTATTGTTGTGCTTGTAGTATTTTTAGTTTCAACGTTTCGGCATTTTCCACTTGGGTGGTTCCAATATTCCTACTTGAATAATGTTGAATCACCCTTAGGATATGTTGCCTGCTTTTTAAATTTGTCTTTTGACGTCTTATCTGTGATACGCAGGCTTCATAACCTCTGATCCCCTTTCAAAATTCCATTTTATTTAGTTCCGCCCATTGTTTTCTCGTTTAGGGCACACGCTTTTTATTACTTGGGGACCATACGCCGCTTTTCATGGAATGGCACGGAAGTGTCACATTGAAGGTTCCATGATAACCGCCGTATGAACACATCTGCGGATGTTTCTAAATTCAAAATTTTACTATATTACGTTTAAATGTTGAATTCTGCTTAAAATAGATTAATACAGAATCCCTAAAGAGCCGGTGCTAGGGGGCGTGGACGGTAACTTGCACTTTCCAGTACCGTCCATGAACAGGCTCAATCAAACCGAGCCTGCAACATTTTCAATTTTGCCGTGTTGGGCTTTCTTAAGGGATTCTATATTTATCTATTTTATTGGTAGAAAAAGGACTAAAGTCAGTTCCTTTGAAATCATATAAAGGGTCACGATTCAACATATTATTCTCTAATGCTAGTTCTGTGTTCTTTTTGCATGAACATATGAAAAGTTTCTTTGAATGTGTAGGCACTAACAATAACCTCCAACGTAGTATTCTCTTTGACCTCAAGGTCCCAGAATTTATCGCAGGAACAAAGGCTCTTAGTTATATCAGCAAGTTTATAACATGTCCTTTGTGGTCAGTTTTAGAAGACAAAACAGTATCCATCACTGATATGAACAGTAAGTACCTACAGGTTGTGACATTCCTAGAGGATGCAATTGAAAATATTGATCAGTTTATGGCTGGTGAACTTTGTCTGTTTGGACAGGTACATGTAGAAAGAGACTACATAGTAGAACATTTGTTACAGCCAAGGGAATATGACAATATTGTACAAAGTCACCTAGAAGTAACACTTCTTGCTATTTGTGGATTAGCACGGCGCTTGTATAAAGACCACTTACCAGGGGGCAAAGTAGTAGGAGTGGATCCTAAGAAAGTTAGAAGTGTACCCAAAACTTCAAGTTTTGCAGAAAGTGTATTCGGCCAACTGGATCAAATCATGAGAACAAAACCGAGCATCAGTACACTTGCAGCAGAATCATGTATTATGTTCTTAAATAACAAAACCTCTGAATGGCTAAAATCTAAGAAAGAGCACGAAAGGAAAGAGTTGATTGAAAATGCTTCAAAAAATGTGAAAAATGTAAAGGCTGCGTATAAGAACAGACTGTGTGAAATAAAGCAAAATAGAAGACTTAAACAGCAGGAACTAATGATGAAGAAACAACACTTGGAGCGTGAAAGGGTTGAAAGACAAACAAAGTATACAGAAAATATGATCAGACATGGCTTATGGCAATCAACAGAAGAAGTTGAAAATATGTTAGCGTCATACCAAAGTGAAATTGAAAAAGTGGAAGCATTGAAAGCTCAGTTAAAGTTTAGAAAGGAGGTTTTGAACCAAGTGGCAGAGACAAAGTCACAATTTAATCTGACAAAAGGTATGAAGGGTAGTAAGAAGAGAAAGAAGTTGACTGTAGATGAGCTGAAGGAAAACCTTATAAACATTGTAAAGCAAGCATTGGTGAAAGATAGGGAGAATGATGAAGAGATACACATACTTGTTGGTAAGAGGGTGAGGCACAGGTTTGAGGAAGTGACTGATGGAAAGAAAATGTACAAATGGTACAACGGTAGGATTATCTCACAGGTAATTTAGATAAATGTCCAACATCATACTTCTTGCTTTCACTTGTGCTTTCCTACCTAACCATATTACTGCATGTTTTTCCTTCATATATGTATACAATGTTGTTTATAACCAATGGTAGTGTATTTATTTATAATCACAAATGTACATATTTTGTAGATCTATGTAGTAGCAGCCTATTTAAACACATACTTTGATAAGCATGTCATGCCACTTTTTCAATTCATCCTATATACAATATAGTTGTCCACATAATAACAGTAACATTTTGTGTAACATGTGTTTTAATTCTTTGATGCATTAGTTATTGTCAAACTGCATCATTTGGCATAAACTTGTATTAAAACTGGTCTATCATTTACAGGTGCCAGGATTCAGGGAATGGTTCAATATCATCTACGACAGTGACGATTCTATATATACATATCATCGTTTGGATAGTGACGTTGAAACAGCTGATCTTCAAATAATTGTTTAAAAGTATGTGTTTTTGCAGTAACATATATTTCACCTAACTTATACTAAAGTCAGGACTAAAACCAGATGTCGTAGTATATTAAAAGACATTGTAGTCAGTGTATAGTCAGTGGTTGGATCATTTCCCTGCCCAATGTACTTTGTTTCAACTTTCAAAGCCAACTTCTCTTGATTCAGTTCAATTGGTTTTGCTGACTTGGTTTACATGGTTCAAAATATTTATTTCATAAGTCAGAATGGGTATTATTATTAACTTGGGCGACATGATAACATAAATTTCATAAAATTATCAAATATTGTCAAAATAAAAAATACACATATATATTTTTGGGTGAAGATAATTATTTAATTATTTTAAACAAAAAGCATTACATCTCTTTCAATTAGATCAATCCATTTAACAACTTAAAATGGTATATAATATATAATCTGCAAAATTACAGGAGTGTCAGAAAGTCGACAAAATTCGTAAACTTTGAACTTTAATAACTTTCTTATTTGGAAAGATAATAATTTGAAACAAAGAGCATTGTATTTCTTACACTTAGACCTTTAAAATGACATATAACAATCCATATTTTGATTAAAATGTAAAAATGGTCCGACCACCCTAAATTATGATCCCGAAGACATTTGTGTAGTTTCAAATGAATACCTTCAGTACTCATGATCATTAATCTTCATTTATATTACATGAGTAAAATTAAGCAAGATTAAAATGGTCCAAAATTCTGTCAAACACAATGCTACAGTTATTGGCTGTGCATCTCCTATTACGGAGGATCTCAAAAGTATTTGTGAAGTTACAAGCAAAATATATTTTAGTGGCTCAACGTTGCCTCCAATTATTTAACAAAAGTGGTTTGCCAACGTGGACACTGACATCAAGATGAGAAGGATAGTACCACTATTCTTCGAATAGTTGAGTCAGGATCCAGTCCTTTTTTCGCACAAGTGATATGAAACCTTGCAATATTCTAAATTTCATTTGTTCCATTTTTGGTCAAACATAAATTATTTTATTTGGAAATAGAGAAAATAAGAATCCCTAAAGAAAGCCCAACACTGCAAAATTGAAAATGTTGCAGGCTCGGTTTGATTGAGCCTGTTCATGGACGGTACTGTCAAGTGCACACTACCGTCCACGCCCTCTAGCACCGGCTAAAGCAGAATTCAACAGTTAACATGAACCTGGTACAATTTTGAATTTTGAAAAATCCGCAGATATGTTCATATGGGGGTTGTCATGGAACCTTCAATGCGACACGTAATTGGCATTCCATGAAAAGAGGCATATGATCCCCAGGTAGAAAAACATGTGTGTGCCCTAAACGAAAAAACAATGGGCGAAACTAAATAAAATGGAATTTCGAATGGGGATCAGCGGTTTTGAAGCCTGCATATCACAGATAAGACGTCAAAAGACAAAGTAAAAAGCAGGTAATATATCCTAAACCACAAGCACAACAAAAATGTCGTGCTGAACGATCTTTAAGGATCGGAAATATAACATCTCTTATTAATGTACGGGGCGACTCCACACGACACAAACAACGCTGATGTGGCGATAAAATAAAGAAAATAAGAATCCTTAAAGAAAGCCCAACACGGCAAAATTGAAAATGTTGCAGGTTCGGTTTGATGAGCCTGTTCAGGGACGGTACTGTCACTTGCAAACTACCGTCCACGCCCCCTAGCACCGGCTTAAGCAGAATTCAACATTTAACATGAACTGGTACAATTTTGAATTTAGAGACATCAGATGATGTGTTCATATTGTGGTTGTCATGGAACCTTCAAAGTGACACGGAAGTGCCATTTCATGAAAAGTGGCATATGGTTCCCAGGTAAAAGTAAAAATATGTGTGTGCCCTAATCGGGCAACAATGGGCGAAACTAAATAAAATGGAATTTTGAATGGGGACCAGAGGTTATGAAGCTTGCATATCACAGATAAGGCGTCAAACGACAAAATTAAAAAGCAGGCAATATATCCTTAGGAAATAGGATATTAGAAAAGTAATATTTTCCTCAACAAACAGGGGCATTTAAAATACATGTGGAGGAACAGTGCACGCATATTGTGCAGACTATAAGATAAGTCAAGATTTGATAAGGGAGGGAATTTCATTCGAATACACTTACAGACTTACTCTGTTATTACATAGCCGAACCATAAAATTTCGTCGGGTGGTTCATTGTGTCGCCTCTACGGAGTAGTAGCGACACATAGGGATTATTTCTCCGCCGTCTGTCTGTCCGTCTGTCTGTCCGGACGTACAAACCAGAGTTACATTATGGAGTTTGGTCTATTGTTCTCATAACAATAGATGTCTTTGATGTCATTCATTCCGTTTCTCTTGTGGGGTTATTTTCTGCATTGTGGGGTTAAAACGAACAAAAGTAATAACAAAAGAAAACCCCATAAAGTAGCTCAAGTAAGAATGTCCGTCTGTCCGTCCGTCACAAAACTTGTCCGGACTACACCTCATAAACTACTGGTGCAATTTTATCCAAAATTAACAGGAATGATCAATACCAAGGCTAGTTGTGCATATTGTCAGAATTTTCCGGTTCAATGATTTTTGTCAGAGTTTTCGCCCTTTTATAATTTTTATTTTTAAAGTTTGTCCGGACTACTTCTCTTATACCACTAATGCAATTTCAATGAAACTTTACAGGATGGATCTGTAGCTCAAGTCCTTGCGCATATTGCACGGGTTGTCTGGTTGAATAAATTTTGGCCGAGTTATAGCCCTTTGATAAAAAGGTTTTTTTCTGTGTGTTGCCCGATACACAAAAGCTTGTCCGGACTACTCCTCATAAACTACTGGTTCAATTTCATCCAAACTTTACAGGAATGATCAGTACCAAGACTTGTTTTGCATATTGTCAGCATTTTTCGGTTCAATGGTTTTTGTCAGAGTTATGGCCCTTTAATATATTTTATTTTTAAAGTTTGTCCGGACTACTTCTCTTATACCACTTATGCAATTTCAATGAAACTTTACAGGATTGATATGTAGCTCAAGTCCTTGCGCATAATGCACCGGTTTTCCGGTTGAATGATTTTTGGCCGAGTTATAGGCTTATAGCCCTATGATAAAAAGGTTTTTTTTTTCTGTGTGTTGCCAGATAAAAGTTTGTCCGGACTTCTCCTCATAAACTACTGGTGCAATTTTATCCAAACTTTACAGGAATGATCAGTACCAAGTCTAGTTGTGCACTGTCCGTCTGTCTGTCCGTCTGTCACAAAACTTGTCCCAAAATGAAACTGGCCATCATTAGACAACACATGTGATCACTGATCGCTCTTGTTGTCACATCCGTGTTATTTGTGCCGTGTGGCGGCTGTATAAAATCTCCCTGTACATTTAATGAATGATATTATATTTTCGATTTTTGGAGATCATTCAGCACAACATAATTGTAGTGTAAACATGTTATGTGGTACTTTGAGTTTTTTCTTTTTGGCCATTTTCAACTTGGGTGGTTCCAGTATTCCTATAATCACCCTTAGGATATGTTGCCTGCTTTTTAAATTTGTATTTTGACGTCTATCTGTGATATGCAGGCTTCATAACCTCAGATCCCCTTTCAAAATTCCATTTTATTTAGTTCCGCCTATTATTTTTCTCGTTTAGGGCAAAATCATTCTTTTACTTGGGGACCATATGCCGCTTTGCATGGAATGGCATTACTGTGTCACATTGAAGGTTCCATGATAACCGCCGTATGAGCACATCTGCGGATGTCTCTAAATTCAAAATTGCACCATTTTCGTGTTAAATGTTGAATTCTGCTTAAGCCGGTGCTAGGGGCGTGGACAGTAACTTGAAATTTCCAGAACCGTCCATGATCAGGCTCAATCAAACCGAGCCTGCAACATTTTCAATTGTGTTGTGTTGTATTTTCTTTAGGGATTCTACTTTTCTCTATTTGATAGGGCTGTGCATTGCCATTTTTTCTGTCATGATACATATCACGATATTTGTTTTTCAAAACGATGCGATTCACGATATGTATTATAAGTATACATCGAGGACAGGGCAGATTGCCATGCATCGATGAATCGTTACACCTCTACTATTTGATTTGTCTGTTCACAAGAGATAATGTAATCTGCAACAACTCTCACTACGGGTAAAGTGGTATTCAATCTTCAACTATAACGTGCTGGAATCAAACACACCGACTCTGATATTTAATATTCATACTTTGAATATTAATCTTATCAATATATACCAATTCTTCAATATATTGTACCAAAGTAGCCATGTATGGAACCAGATAGCCTTATATTGAATGGAATTATCAATATATTAATTCATTTTACAATATATGAAACCATTATTTTATCAATGTATGGATCAATATATAAAATAGATAAATACAGAATCCCTAAAGAAAGCCCAACACGGCAAAATTGAAAATGTTGCAGGCTCGGTTTGATTGAGCCTGTTCATGGACGGTACTGGAAAGTGCAAGTTACCGTCCACGCCCCCTAGCACCGGCTTAAGCAGAATTCAACATTTAAACATGAAATAGTAAAAATTTTGAATTTAGAAACATCCGTAGATGTGTTCATACGGCGGTTATCATGGAACCTTCAATGTGACACTTCCGTGCCATTCCATGAAAAGCGGCGTATGGTCCCCAAGTAATAAAAAGCGTGTACCCTAAACGAGAAAACAATGGGCGGAACTAAATAAAATGGAATTTGGAAAGGGGATCAGAGGTTATGAAGCCTGCGTATCACAGATAAGACGTCAAAAGACAAATTTAAAAAGCAGGCAACATATCCTAAGGGTGATTCAACATTATTCAAGTAGGAATATTGGAACCACCCAACTAGAAAATGCCGAAAAGTTGAAACTAAAAATACTACAAGCACAACAAGAATAATGTTGTGCTTGTAATAATAATAAGTTGATTATCACATTATATGATACCAGATTTTCAATAAATGGTACCAAAATAGCAATGTATGGAACCAGATGT